GCGTAGCCTTCAACTTGTTACTGGGTACCTGACCCCTTGCTTCCAGGATCTCCTTCAGAGTCATTCGCATGACAATGGAGTAGTTCGTCTCCATTCACTGTCCATTCAGAAAATGGCTATCGGATGTGCTGTGGCTTTCTTCAACTGAGAGGTCTGCATCCCACCGCTGTAACCTCTTGTAGTCTCTTGTAGTGGAGTTCCAATACCTGGATCTCCACTGAATATCCTCAAAGCTGAAAAAAGCATATTTTAGTGAATAGCTTTATTCCCCCCAGTAACTAGATGACACATTTGTGGAAGTACAACTGGTTTTATTGATAATGCAGCCTTTTATGCACAGACCCCCAGCATGGGGTCTCCATTCAACTCATACAGTGCCCACCCAGGTATCTGTGTCTGGGAGATAATTGAGTTGCTGCGTGATAAACTAATTATCTCCAGGATACAGAGTGCCGAACACAAAAACACAATAAAGACACACATGAACCCTGGATAGCTCTGATCCAATCGCCCATGTTGGCAAAATCCATGAAGAGATAACAAATCACCACCGGAGTAAAGTTTTGACCCGCCACATACGGGGTATATGCCCAAAAGAGTTCCAACACAATTAGAGTTTTGGCTGGTCAAATATATGGAGTTCCTGTGGCCAAACAAAATGGAGCTCCCCCTGGCTCTCTGGGAGCGATTGTTCTATTTAGTCCGCAGTCCCTTCCCTCCAAATAGCGCTCTCCTGGAAGGTCAGGAAGTGGGGCAAAACAGTGGGTCAAGGTGATCAGGAACCGCGAGTTGAAGTGGCAAGTTATAGTTCCATACGGTTTGCGGCCAAGTGCCGTTGGGGGTCTTTCGGTGGTTTATGGACGAAAGACTGTCAGAGAAAGAGAAAGCTTTCGGTGATAATGTTCAAGAGAAGGAACGGTACTGAACCAGGGGGTAGTGATAGCTCTTTTGGGGAAAAGGATCCGCCACAGAAGTGCTCATGCCATTGTCCAAAGCACTGGTGAGACCTCACTTGGAGTACTGTATGCAGTACTGGAGACCGTATCTGCAGAAGGATATTGATAATTTGGAGAGAGTTCAGTGAAGGGCTACAAAACTGGGTAAACTTACCAGGAAAGGTTAAAGTATCCTAACATGTACAGCTTGGAGGAAAGACCAGATGGGGCTGCTGTTACATTCTATGTTTCTATCCATAGGCATCATGTGGGGGACTTTAAATTAAATAATGGGGGTGGACAAATGACTGCCCACCCCCTGCACCCTGAGTGCTATTAAATAACAAAAAATTTGGGACATTCTACTATCCCCACAGGTCCCACCCTTAATAAGCGGAAGGGTGCTGCGTATAAAATGGAGTGGGGTGGGGACCTATTGTAATTAGTGATGCACCGAACGGTTCGCCGGCAAACAGTTCCCGGCGAACATAGCATGTTCGCGTCCGCCGCGGACGGCGAACACATGCGCGGTTCGATCCGCCCCCTATTCGTCATCATTGAGTAAACTTTGACCATGTACCTCACAGTCAGCAGACACATTCCAGCCAATTAGCAGCACACCCTCCCTAGCAGACCCTCCCACCTACTGGACAGCATCCATTTTAGATTCATTCTCAAGCTGCATGCTTAGTAAGAGGAGGGAAAGTGTAGCTGCTGTTCATAAGATAGGGAAAAGCATAGCTAGGTTAGGTATA